ACGCTTTCGTTTTCTTCGATCTGTGTATACCTGGCGGAGGGACAGAGCAAAAGAGAAAAGGATGAAGAATAGCTACCCCGTCAGGTACCACCACCCACCGTCATTCGTTATATATATGTGAGAACTTCGACCTCCGTTAGGAGGACGCGCGTAAAACCCAGATCGTCACGTCCTCGTACTATCGATTCCGTCCGCTATTTTTTATGATTAAATTTTCCGCTGACTTTCTCGTCAATTAATAACCTAGACGTCACAATAGATCTATCGTGCAGGTATGAAAAGCCCACGGGACTTTCCTCGGAGACTCTACATTGAAAATCCAAATGTGTAATTAATTTTCGTGTGTGTGTGTGTGTGTGTGTGTGTGTGCGCGCGCGTGCGTGTATGTGATTTAGTTTTATGTATACAAATAACACTATGCTATACATTTAAATGTGTATAATAATAATATATATATTATAATTTTTACACAGAAAACTAGATCATATCATACACATATGAAGGCATCTATTAAATTATGATATATTGAATTTGATTATACATTTGAATTTGCAGTGTAAACTCGAATATGTAATTTATGCCTTCATATATTTATGTGTGTATATTAATTTAGTTTTCCATGTAACGATACATTACTACACGTTTAAATGTAAATCCATTTTTGTGTATACAGAGGGAGAGAGAGAGAGAGAGAGAGAGAGAGAGAGAGAGAGTAGTGTATTATTTTTAGAAAACTAAATTACACATATATGAAAGCACTTATCACACACGCGTGAATTTGCGGATAAACTTGTTTTCGGCAAGCTGACTTCTGCGCAAAGCTGATTGTAAAAATAATTTCAGGCTTATTCATCTAATTTCTTGGTTGATCTAATAAGTAAGAACTGATATATCTTTACGCAAGCTCATGTTTCTTTTATTTTATTATTTATGAGTTATATTTACGATTTTGTATCACGATAAAAATGCACTCTTCTCGGTGAAATCGTTAATAAATAGATCTTTTCAGGAGCGAAAGTTCGCATTAATTCCTTTCGAGCAAAATCCTGGAGCGAAAGTTCGCATTAATTCCTTTCGAGCAAAATCCTGTTCCGACTTCACGTTTATAACATCCCACGGAGAAATCGATTCTAGGAAATCGATTCTAGGATCTTGGATCTTTAGTCGAAACGTGGGAATCGAGATGTCGCGAGACATCAATCGTCTCTCATTATGATCCAAGTACTTGCATCAGTCTCTTATAATCGTTTCTTGATGGAATCCGCGCTCTGTACGGACATAAATAGAAAAACGGCGTTGTCGCTGAAGATAAGTGATAGAACCTGACGAAAGCCGAGGCTGCGACCTGCCGCTTGTTATCACCGGAAGAAAGGCTAAGTGGAACATTAATGGGAAAATCGAAGACGCGCGCGCGTGCGAGGTTACGCGATTGGAATAATCACGGGTCGGAGGTTAGCACGGATGTATAATTCCTATCCCACACTTCCGTGGTCGCAAAGGAGGTTTGCCAGTTTTTCCTACTTTGATTTCCACTTTTGAAACCAGAGTTGCCACAAAACTGGAAATCAGGGAAATTGAAAACAATCAGGGAATTTTGTCAATTTTTTGGCAAAATAAAAATTCTTGACTTTAAAGAAGTTCAATGTACATCATATTTATATACATATACGCAGTTTTAGAATACCACTTAACAAGTAAAAATGCATGTAATGTCAGCGTTAACAATAATTTACACTGCTATATGTTAAATTGATCTTTTACAACAAAATATTTAACAGTTTTTAAATCAGGACGAAAATTTAAAAATTTCAAGATATTATTGTAAGTCAAGAAAAATCATGAAATTTTGTCTGAAATCAGAAAGAAGTTATGGGGAGAATTTTAGAATGAGAAATTTGTGACAACTCTGAAAATTTTTCATCTTTGCTTCATGTCTCTCGATCACGCCTCCATAATTGGACTTCAAATGATGAACATATATTATAATATATTTAACAGTTATACGACAAGAGAGGGGATTTGATCGCCTTATTACATTTCATCTCGCGTAATTGAAATTAAGACGCCGTTACACTTAAGGCGTCGCGACGCTTCAGAAGGTACATTGTTTTTAATGGCTGCAGAAAAGCTGCAGCTTTGCATAACTGTTGTAAGATTTTTAACATGATTGGTTTTTGCCTTTAGAGTCTCGTTAAACCTAAATGTATAAATCAAGGATATTAGAGAATCTGACGATAGTTGCAAAATTTTTTTCTTGCACTGTTAGATATTAAAGGAATAGTGATAACTTAGTGAATTAAATGTAACATCTTATTATTTTTAATTTCCATATATGTGCCAAAGTGTAAATCAATCTATTTCTGTATTTGTTTCAAACAACATTTATAATAACAGTGAATAATAAATTAAATTTAATATATTTTTTTGAATTAAATTGTTTAACTTCATTATTTCAGTTAAATATTGTAAATCACATATTAAATACGAGCAATGCCAATCTATAGAAATAATTAAAAATAACTCAAATTGGATATAATTTGACATTATAAATTTAACAGTGTACTAAAGCAGAGAATTTTATAATGGTTGCAAAGCTTTTGTCTGCTATAATCCTATAAATCCCGGCGAGAGGAATCCCCAGAGGAATCAAAATTCGATCGATGGTCTAGATTTAGATCTCAGTGCAGAAGTCTTCGCAGAAGATGAATTTTTGCCCCTGGAGAACAGAAGCGAGATAGCAAGCATCTCGACGAAGACGATGAGGGAATTCGAGCGGACCGGACGGTAGTCTGAAGTGCAGAAGAAGAACGGTACTCGCAAGAGGCCGGAAGGCGAGACGTGATGACGAGAGGATGGAGATTTGAAAGGGAAGAAGAAAGGAAGAAACGGAGGAAAGAAGAAGATCATTCGCTTGGGAGAGTCGGGAGTCGTTTTCTCGGATCTTGCTCGCCGACTCCACGTTCGAGCGGTTGCAGTCGATGCACAAAATTCCGAGAAACGACGCCCTTTACCTGGCCCGCCGCGAGGAGACGAGTTCTGCGATCGCGAGGGAACGAAAAAACAGAAGGGACACTCGAGACACAGACGGAGATGGACTTGCCATCGGATATCTCGGAATGGAATTCAATGACTGGAATCGAATCGACAAATGTTACGTATTCTTAATCTTAACAATCCTTCGCATTCGTTTTATATGAGATATAACTAATTACAGTATCTCTCAGCTTAGAGTCGACTTGAGAAACATTTTTATCTTTGACAAATTCTAATTTTATGCTGCCTAAAATTTTCATAAGAAAAAGATATAATATTTTTGTTTTTCTTTTAGAAAAAAAACGTACATACATAGATTTATAAATTTTACAAAGAAATAGCTTTTTTTTTTATTTAAAAATTCATATACAAATTATTATATAACTATAAAGTTACATATAATTAATAATTAATAATCGATGTACGTATAATCTTCACTGATTCTCATTTAAGAAATGAAGACTTCTATTTTTACAATCACAATTGCTTATTATTAACAATTAATACTTTATCTAGATTTTTAATACACAATTGGATTATTCATGTCTTACGCATTTCGTTTTTTTTGTTTTTGAAATATTATGTGCATCAAGAAATCAATTATAATTTATATACAATTTTTTTAATACACAACTTTACAAGTACTATCTAAAGATGTCAAAGTAAATGTATAAAAATTACTTAATAATTTTTTTTATACTTGTAAAAGTATAAAAATTATCCCGAGACATGAACGACCCATCGTATATACTAACAATAAAACTTAGTATCAATAATATACATAATCATATAAAATTACAAAAATCTATTCATGTATTCTGCTGTTGTTTTCTCTTGTCCTGTATACTATTTATAAATAGATGTCTTTTGACATTTTTCAAGCAAATCAGCAAAAAGTCAAACAACAATTTTAACGATAAGGTAATCGGTTATCTCTTGCCGAATAAGAATAACGTGAATTTATATGTATTAGAATTGAAATATGTATGGAGATTTATTTTGTCGAATGCATTTATCTCTTTGCAGCCTTCATAACGTGAAATCCGGACGTCCTTTAAATGTCTCCTAGGAATCAGAATTACGAAAGATTAGGATGTCCTACGCGTGTTATTCTTACGTGGAAAATTCACCCCATTCGACGAGACACCTTCAACGCTCAGCTCGGCTCTGCTCACAATCTCACAATCAGTTCAACTCGCTCGCTCCTTCTCGGACTTCTCTCTCGCTCGCTCTCCTCGGACTCCTCGCGCGCGCATTGCGCGTCGCGCGTCGCGCGACGCGCCGCGCCACGGAGGGAGCGAACTCGTTGGATATATACATGCACACGCGATATCATAGCGGCGAGCAGTCGACACGCGGCACTCGTACGAAGCGGGTCTCCTCGTGCTCTCCTTCCCTCCTCCTACGGCCGAAGGAGAGAAAGGAAGAAGAGAGACGGCAGTAGCCAGGAAGAAAGACACAAGTATTTTAAGCTCATCTCCGCGAAATCTTCGACGGCAAAAATCGTCGAAAGGACCCGTTCTACGATATCGCACCACGGATTAATTACTCGTCGATCAATCGCGACATTTTACGCGATGACTCTATCGGAACGGAAAGAGAAAACACGACGTGAAAAGTTTCTCCCCGTTGAACATCCGGCTTCGATCTTCGCCTCGGCGACGCGCTCTTAGAATTAGTCGCGCGTGGACTCCTAAGAGATCGATTGGGAACGTCGCTCGATTGTACCAACGAAACACAAGATCCTCTCACTCTCGGACGTGTCGTGAAGACGATTCTCGCGGAGAGATCGCCGTGAACGCGGAAGTAACCGGAATCAGCCGATACCAACCGGATCTAGGAGTATTATTTGTCTCGTCAAAGAATCCGTCCGCTCGTCAGAAGACCAGGCATTCAGCGGGCCATATCAGCTCCAATTTAAATAATTAGGAGCTCCAGTTTGAGGAGTTAGTTTGCTTCATCTTCAGGAATCCCCTGAAGAAGGAGAAAAAGAAGAAAAGAATTCAGCAAAGCCTTCGATAGTAATCGATAATATCGGAGAACCAGCAAAACCTTTAAAACGCGGCACTCCACACTCCGATACTCGAGCAGCCGGCGTGAGACCGGCCACGAGATTGTGTCCCTGGCTATGGACAAGCTCTCAATAATCCCTCGAAGTGGTATTATTCATAACAACGCGGACCACCAGAAGAAGCGCCAAGAGAAAGCAACGACAACGACGACGACGACGACGACAACGACGACGACGACGACGACGACAACGACGGTGGCGGCGGCGGTGATAGTCGGTGGTGCGGAGGCACAATGCAGCACAACAAGCGGCGTAATTCCCGATAACGCTGCCGCCGATCGTCGATTCCCTATCGCATCAGCGAGAGGAGAAGAATACACTCGAAGACGCTCGGGGATTGCTGATACGTCGCAGACGATCAGCAGCGCACGTAGCGATTTCATTGCACGTCGGAGACGTCGGGACGCTTTGACCGCGATCGCGCGACCACGTAGAAATACATGGCACGCGGAAAATAAAGGCGATGCCGTGACAGATGACGACTCGAGCAGATCGTCAAGGATCGACGTTATCGGCGATCATGCAGAGCGAGACTGTGCTCTCGATGCGACGAACTCGGCAGGATTTTGGAACGTCAGGATTGCTGACGACGACCGTCACACTTGTTGCGTCTCGATCGACGCGACCACGTTTCTCGCGCGGCGTGGACCAGCCCGCGACCTTATCATCGAACGGCGGAATCGACGAGTTGGTAGTGACCTGCTGACTCGCAGCAGGTCAATCGCGGCAGGTGAAGAGATATTCCGCAGCACGGTGAATGATATTACGATAGGAAGGGAAGATCGGTTTTTCGAGATTCCGCTCGTCGGTACCACGGATTTTCCCGAGTGCAACGGACGTACCTTATCCAGCAACACTTCAAGTATCGTGCTCCATGAAGTGAACGGAGGATCATCGACAACTGTCCGCGAAATCGGAAGACCTATCGATAGCGACGTCAACACGGAGAACCTTCGGACTAGTGGTCCCAGACTGATCGAAATCGGTATCGTCGAATCCTCGTGCGAGGAGCAACCGTGCGTTCTCGCTGAAGAGATTGTACGCCGAAGAGACACGTCGCCTACGGTGCGATTTCCCGCGAAACTTGATCCCGGTGGACGTGCGTGGCGGACCAAGACGGACACGCGCTGGAGATTGCCGAGGATCGGCCTCGTCCAGCGAACTCTTCTGCTGGGACTACTCGCGACGAGTCTGCTCTGCGACATGGTGCTGACCGCGCCATCATCATCGTCAGCAAAGCTAGAAATGACAAGGAACAACATTGGCGACGACGAGCTAGAGATCATCAGGAGAAGCATCGTGCAAGGCCTCGGGCTCCAGAGGATACCTGATCCTTCAAAGGTAGGTCCGTCTAGTCGACACAGCAGAATGGCGAGAATACAAAGTATCGTATACTGTTAAATATTAAAAGAGCAAATTTAAACCAATTCCTTGAATTAAATAACATTTTGTTATTTTTAATTTCCAAATTGGTCGAAATATATTATATGTAATACAAAAACAGTACATGTGATTAAAAAAATAACTACATCTGATTAATTCATATCTATGATCAATTAGTTTGAAAGTGAACAGTGTATTAACGTGTGCACTAAATGATAAATTAAATTTGAGTAAAATTTAATATATTTTTTATTTAAATTGTTTAACTTTATTGTTTTAGTTAAATTAATGTTGAATGCCTGTACACTGAAAGAAAAGATTGGCTGAATATGGCATAGCATTTTTAATTGGCTGTTGCAGCAAATTAAAAATGCTATGTCAATATTTTATCATTTAATTTGCAACAGCCAATCTTTTTTTTCAATGTAGGAGCAGTGGCGATCTACAAGAATAATTAAAAATAACTTAAATTAGATATAATTTAATATAAATCTAACAGTATAACTGCAGTCCTCGGCATTTTCTTTCGTTATTTTATTAGCGAAATATAATCAAAGTATTTTTTTATATATTAATATATCATAATACCAATCCTAAATTTTGTATTTACCTTGTTACTTAGAAACACTTAATGTCTATTGTGTAACTCGAGAGAAGAAAATATTTATCGAAATGTCTTCTCTAAAAATTATGATACTTTGTATTGGTTCTGCCAAGTATGGGCGATACATGAAGACAGAACGAATGAGAATATATGGTGTATTGCGAAAGCTGCAGTTTAGGTATCATAAATTGATGCAAAAATATTAACGATATATAAGGCGTTCCAAATTCTTCGCGCTTTTATGAGTCGCGGATTATTTCAATAATTCGAATTTTTTCACGAATAAAGATAATCGGGCAATAAAATCTTTTTTGAATTACTATTACAAGCCTGACGAGAAGTGGGTGACGCCTTTGCGAAATGGTCTTTTTATGCTGCGCGTAAATAATGAAAATCGCATTTTATACCACAAACGTAATTTTTAATCCAAAGGAATTTTAATTATTTTACAACGCGCAATTTTTGTTTTGACAATCTTAGAATTCCGCACAAATCACATAAAAAAGCGAACTTCATCAAATTGACTGAAACTGTGATGTTTTTTTAGATTATGAAATGTGTGTGTGCTGATCAAAAGTCTCCAGGCACAATCATAAAAAATGAATAGATTTTACTGTAGCACCATTTAAAACTTACTATTTTGGATCTAATCGGACTGAAATGTAACTTTATTTATTGAATTATTTATTCTTTAGTAACTGTACCTTAATACTTTTGCACAGAATAATAATGACTCAATTGATGTGTAATGTAAAGAAAACACATAGTCGTTTTTCAAAAAATTACGCAATTTGCAATATGCAATTATTCTTTGAAAAAGAACTATATGCTTTTTTTATACCAATTGATTTATTTAATTATTCTGTGCATAAAAGTATTAAGATATTCTCTAAATTTTTTAGAGTGAATCTCACTCCAATGAATTTAGAAAGTACATTTATCAAAAATGAATAGCTTAGTAATTTAAAGTACTTTTGAGTCCGATTAAAAAAATAACAACTTTCAAGGATACAGCAAAATCTGTTTATTTTTTGTAATTGTATTTTTTCAACATCTCATAATCTATAAAATATCACAATTTCATCCAATTTGACTGCAGCCATTTTTTTAAGCACATGATTAGTGTGAGGCTCTTTGAAAATTGCGAAAAGGAGATCCACGCATTCGATAGGATTATTTTCGGACGAAGAAGAATCTATGAATTCATTTAAAGAAAGTGATCTAGGAACAGCATCTGGTTTTAAAAGCGAATGGTCGAACGGCTCAATGCCAGACTATTTAAAATCGATCTCATAAAAAAAAAGAGTCTCCGCCTTGTGCGTATCGACGATTCGCGCCTCGGCGGTGGAAAAAAAAGTCGATAAATCCTAAATTATTACAGAGGCGATAAGAGACGAACACGGTGACGATGACGTCGCGCTCATTCGCGCCTTCGAGTTCGTTGATCGAGGACGACGCGTTGTCGAGATTACTTGAATAACGTCAGCTTTGCAGCCCTTTCCACGCCAGAGGACGGTTGAATTTTATCGGCGACCGTATCTCGAGTTTCACGTTTTTACACCGGTTTCATATGACAAAAATAGGGAGCTTTTGCAATAACTAAAGTCATGTTATCCTTTTTTTAATTAGTTGTTAAGAAGAAGACAACTTGACTTTAATGTTCACCGTATCTCATGATTCATCGTATCTGGATAAACGTATTACAAAAACTCTCTATTCTTACGAAAATTATCCCAATCTACTGGGGGAATTTTTTGTCATGAGATCTGGAATGTGGAGAGCTCGCCTCTATCATTTATGAACATTTCTTTCAAATACCTATCTAAAGTACCTATCTACAGTTACGAAATTATTTATCTGAATATTTATCTGCGTTCATTCATTATATCAATGATTCGTTTAAACTATTATCCAATTGTTAATTTTTAAATGACGCACGAAAAGAACGATTTTATTGAAAGGAATATTCTGGATGTTTAATAATCTGGAATATTACTGGATGTAGATTTGAAAATAATTTTGTTAGACCGTCGAAATAATTTTATCGGTAACTCAAACTGGTTGCTATATAAAATATCAAATTTTTTTATAGCATTACTCATAATTTTTAGTTTCTGATATAATTATTTTGATGATTCAACAAAATTATTTTCAGATCTAAATCCAACAAAATTTTATACCTTTCAGCAAAATCATTCTTTCTAGCGAGATCTATTTCTAAAATTTTACAGATCAATTCATTAATTTCATTGTATTTCTTGCCTGAAAATATGATTATTTTAGCGCCACTACAGTGACTTTCTCGTAAAAGTTAAAAATTGTAGTTCCATTCACGCATCAATTTATATTTATACTTGGACAAAACTTAACTTAAGTAATTGTAAAACTATCAGTGCGGTATGTAAAATCACAATTTTTAACATACAATGTGAAAATATCAATGTGAAGAAATCATTGATATAGCTAATGATTGATATAGCATTATTCAGCAATTAGTTTCGTATCTCTAGATATTACAACATATCTACTTGTCGTGCGGGTGTGCGAGCTATATTTAAATAATCTAGATCGAATGGGCCAGACTTATTGCGATTTACCCGCGCTATTACCTTCTATAGATAAAATTACATTCATAAAGGAGAAAAAAAGCACGGATAAAGACTTTCTCGACTAGAGTTAACCCCCAGGTGAACGTCATAATCGTACGAAAATAGATTTTGCGAATTATTAAAGCGGCGTATTCCCGCTACTATTCCGAAACTCTTCAAGGGTAGGCAGGTGGTGTAAATCCCGGCGTCCTCGCAGCCACGGAGGCATCAAACACACGCGTGTGTACGTAGTATTCCCCATTGATTCACGCACGCCGACGTACGCCCGTATTTATAGATCGCCCGTAAATCAGACGGGAAATGTACCTTAACGTTCCGTACGTGAAAGTACAAACGAGAGCGCGCGGACCTTCGCGGGAAGGAGAAAGGGCGAGAGCCCCAGGTTCGTTGACCATCCGGCCGGGCTGAAAAAGGTATTACCCTTTGCACGTAGGTACCCGCGGTCTCCGCTGAAACGCGAGCTGTCCGGAGCTGTGCACCGTGCGATGAAAAAGCACGACAATGCCGTTCCAGGGGGAGACGCGTGACACGTCGCGTGGTCGTCCAGATCATTAGTCTCGTAAAACGCTCCGCACGAAACACGCGGGTTAGAAAAAGCCTAGGGAGGGTCCTTAATCCTTCGATCTCACTGTGCCTCCATTCCTTTTTTTTTTCTCCTCTCATATCGCGCCGCACGCATCTCTCAAGCGCGCGTTTTTATTTGTTTTAGCCTATTCCACCTTACATTATTCGTACGCTTCGTTAATATTGTTCATATATATCCGCTGGTAATAAGAAAAAAAACTGTTTATTTGACTAAATTAATTTAGTAAGATAATTAACTTCGATCTTATTTTAACTTACTGTTTATGAGAATTGATAATTCTCTCAGAATTAAAAAAAGATAAAAGAGTACATTGAATCGAGATTGAAATTAATCTTAATTGGTGAAATCGAATCTAAGTTGCAAATATAATATATTTGACTTAAATAATTAATTAAGTAGAAATCTCATCTATGATAAGCATAAAAAGTTTTAACATTCTAGCGGCCTCAGTTTGAGTTTTTCAATAAAATTATTTACAAATCTGTATCTTAGTTCAATTTTTGGATACTTCAAAGCAAAATTATTTGTGAAAGCGCAAAATTCTACATGGGAGGTTTAATAAAAAAAATTCAAATTGTCAGATGTAGCATAAAGAAAATAAATTGATTTGACAAAAAGAATTTACATTTGTTCGGCACAAAGAGATTTGTCGTTTTTTAGACAAAGGGATTTATAACTGTGTTTAATAAACGCACTGTCAGCTTCGGACGGTTATATTATATTTTTATTCTACGTTATACTAATATACTGTATGCGTAGGAGAAGCGAAACGTGAGAAACGTATCTTCATCGTAAACGTTTGAAGTTTCAAAAGCCGCGGCCTCGGCTTCACGAAGGACGTCCGCTCTTTTCTTTCCGGTTCCAGTTTTCGCGTTTGCCTCGCCTAATCTCGGCGCGAGACCCATTTTGTCAGAGGAGATCCGTGCCGACGGAGATCTCCTTTTTCCGCTTTCGAAAACCTCGCATACTTCGCGTCGTCGTATCCGCGAGTACGCGCGATCTGGCATATATATATGGTTGTTTGCCTAGACGCTGCTAATGATCGGCGTGTCCCTTTGTCAAGTGCCGACCCGGGTAAACAATCTTACGACCGAATGCAGTTCCTGTCGTAGATAACGCCATGCCGCGACGGATTATACGCGTTGCGATCTTTATCTTT